CGCTGGGAGGAGGTGGCGAAAGCTGGATTAAAAAAAAAAAACAAAACCCAGAGAGCTTTTGGTTTATAAACACAGTGTTTCAACACCAACTTTTGTGTTTATGCTCCCCACGCTGTCACACTTGTCTCCTGGCATATGCTCCATCTGGCTGGGGAGATGCATCTGCTCCCTCCTGCTGCGGGCTCTCCACGTGCAGCTGAGCTCGCCCCGCTCACCGCCAGCCCACCCCGACACGGCATGGCTGGCACTGAGGGACACGGATGGCTCCTGGAACAGCTCCTGGTTAAGAGTTTGTGACAAGGCAGAGGTGAAAATGCCCTTTTTTGTATTCTAATCCAGCACCTGCTACCTGCTCTCTGTCTGAACTGTGGCACCACCACCCTCACACCGAGCCATCACTAATGTTCCTGCCCATCTCAGTCATTGTAAGATATTTAACACAAGCACCCAAATCACTTGCTGTCCCGAGTATGTTTGCAATAATTACATGATACAGTTTAGGAGAGGTTTCTTTTATAGTTTTAGTTCCAGTTTTTACTCCAGATCACTGCCTGTTTCAAGGACAGCTGTGAGGAATTGGGGTACAAGCTCAGCCTTATTCAGCACATTACACCACACTGCAAACAGCATCAAACTGCAGAGCACAGAGGAGGCTCATTAACTGACACCCACCCGGAATTCTCCTGGGCACAGATGCCAACTGGAAAAGTAGGTCACATTTTAGACAGGCTCCTAAAAATCCACTCACTGCAGGCTGATGAGGTGAGGTGATGGAACCAGCACAGCCCATCCAGGCCACACCGAGGGGAAATGAGCCCTGTTCTGCTGGAACACTCAGGGAACATCAAACCATGGAAAAGAGAGAAAAGGCTGAGCTGAACAGGCAAGAAGAGTCATCTTCAGGCCTTGACTCCCAGGAAAAGGGAGGCTGGAAGAGAGGGAATGACTGAGCAACTGCTGCTGTCTCAGAGTCTCATGAAGGGTGGAAGGAGCCAAAATGGAAGTGGTACCTTGTACGAAGCTGTAATAACCTTAACACACCCTAAAGAAAAGCTAAAGAAAGTGTCTGTTCATCTCCCAGTTTTCCTTTGGATTTAAAAATTATGAACACTCAAGATCTCAATTGTCTTCAATACATTAAAACATTTTGTTGACCATATGGATACAGAATCCTGATAAAACCTGAAACTATTCCCATTTTGCTCTGCAAAAGTACTACTTTCTTCAGGAAAAATAATTACTTGTCAAGAATAATCTGTTACAGGAAAAAAAAAATCCATGAATATTAAAGCACCAAAATGCTTTAACACCTACAGCAAGTCCTTCAAATCACAGGCAGTTCTTCAGTGCAACAACCTGCAACTGTGCCAAGGTGGGTTTGTAAAGCTAAATACATGGATGCTGGTATTTCAGGAATTCAAAGCACACACTGAGTGAAAAATCTCAGGTTTTTTTCCATATCCCTACAGGATCCATCTAACCTGTGCAAAAGCACTGCCCTGGATGCAAATAACTATGAAAAAATAACATGAATGAAACCTTACAAGAGACCAAAAACTCTCTCACCTGATGTGAGAAGTATCATTTTCTCCAAGAGCAAGAAACATGAAATAATTTTTTTGAATGGTAATTTATATTTCTGAAATCACATAAAAGGATTATTTTGGAATTTTAACAGAAGATACCTTTTTTTTTTGCTTTCACAAGGCTTAAAGAAAACACTACATTCATCAGCCCTGGAGTAAATGCCTTTTAAAAGGGCAGGAGATGAGCAATCCTAACAACAGTCCTCACCAGTATCAGCTGTGCTCACCTCCCATATTCCAGAGGGATGCAGAAACTAATCTAATAAACCCATCAGACCAATTGTGCCTGATCCTGACAAGCAAGGAAGTATTTCTGCGTAGACATGTGGATGTTCTGAAGATTTGAGGTGTTTCAAACAATCCTGTTTACCCTTTTCATGTGGGTTTTTTCAACACTGTAAAACAGATTCAAACAGAGAAAAATAAAATAAAATCAAGGATCACAGAGGTTGAGATGTGGCTCAAAATGCCACACAAATTCCAGGCCATCTGTCACAGGATCTTCTCCCTTAATGTAGCAAATGACAGGGAATGGTGTATTCCCAAGTACTCTACTGACATCAGAAAATTAAGCTTGCATTAAAACTAAATTCTAATTTGCAATTCCAGCTATTCAGAAGTCTGATTCTGCCTAAAAAACACGTTCCTTACACCCATATCAGTTATTAGGTACCAGGTAGCTACGAAAGGGAAAAAATTGTAATGAAAAAACCCATGACATGAAAGAGGTAAGGAAATGAGGTTGGGTTGGGTCAGGCTGGAGGGGGTTTGGAGCACCCTGGCCTAGTGGAAGGTGTCCCTGCCCATGGCAGGGGGTTGGAAAGAGAGGAGCTTTAAGCCCCTTCCAACCCAAACCAGTCTGTGGTTCTATAATAAACCACCATTTTATTGATGGGTAAAGTGCTTAGAAATTGAGTGGGGAAAAAGGAGGACAAGGAAACACTAACAGAAATTAAAAATGAGACCAATAAATACACATACAAAGGACAAAAAAGTTAGAAAAGAATAGATCTAGGACAGCAACAGAGCATTCACATCTACAATAACATGTACAGTGAAAGACATAAGGGCATGTATAAAAAAAAAAATCATAGTATTCATTTAAGATGCCAGTGCTCTCCCTCCTACTATGTTTTCCCAAACATTCCAGCAGCGACAGAAGACACCAAGCTCTGGGCATATAAAAGCAATTCCTCTGCCAAAGCTGAGCAGGAGACAACTCTGAGGGGAAGTTGTCTCAGCGATTTCACTTAATCATCTACAACATTGCACTGAAAATAAGGAACAGCACATTTGTTTCTTCCCTTCCACGGTTTCTGGGCTGTCTGGAATTAGCTTTCCTTCCAACCCAGAAAATCCCACCCTCCTCATGCACACCAGGACCACAGTGGGGCCACACCAGTTCCAGGGGAGCCCCCATCCCAATAAATGCCATTTGTCACGTCCAAGGAGGAAAGTGAATTACTAAACTCTTAACTGATATCTAGACATCAGCTGTAGCTCCTTATTATTACTTATTCCAACTTGCTTTAGTAAGGATTTGACAGATTTCAGGCTTTTTTTTAGTAATTTTCATTTGTTAAAGCAGAATTTCTACACAAGTACAATAAAGAGAAGCCATTTTACATTGTCCTTCCAGCATGTTTCCAAAATGCTGGGGATGTAACTCAGCCTCTGTCACACTCCAAGCACCCACCAATCCAGAAAGAAAAAAAATAACCAAAATATTTCACAGCCAGACTAAAGAGCACACAGGGCTAAGCTGAAGAGACAGGAAGATGCACTCCTGAATTACACTATATTTGAAAAATGGGAATGAAATCCCAAATGCCACACTAGTGTAATACAGAAAATCCACAGAGGAAAATTAGAAAGAATCTGCAGATGAGTCCTTGCATGTTCCCCCCGAGCACATCTGCACTGCTGCACTGACTGCCCTTCTCATGGAGCTGTCAGGGGTCAAGCACTTGACACTGGGAAAAAAGCCCCTCCAACAAAAAGAACCCAAAAAAATACAGGCAGCCTCTGTGCAGAATTACTTTGAAAGAGTCCTTAGTCCTTGTGGTGTGGAGAAGCACTTTTACCACAAGTCACAACACAAAGAGGCCTTGGATGCAGAACAAGACTCAGCCTGACTTGCAGCCCTGTCTCAAGCTCACATCTGTCACAATCAAAAGCTCATCCTGAAATAATCAGGTTTCCCCCTTCTCTGCAGTGGCCATCCCTTATTTATGCTAATCCAGTAACTCAGTAATAAGCCTTCAACTCTTTCCAGCTTGTATTATCCCTCTCTTAGAACTCAGTGCTGAAGACAGAAGTTGGGGAGGGTTTTTTTCTGATCATAAAAGACAGCTGACAAATCAGCAGAGAATCTTCTCAGGGAGAAATAAGGCATTTGTGTGGATCTCAGTTTTGTCAATCTAATTCTTGCCTGAAGACTCATTTACAAGATCAGCAAGTATCATATCCCTGTGCTCTGATCCCTTGGCAATAGGCTCTTCAGCTATACAAGGCTAATCATTATTCCAAAATCATTCCTAAAAAGCAAGGCATTTGTTCAGAAGACAACTTCAGAATTTAAATGAAACCCTGAAGTCAGCCACCTGTTTTGGTCTATTTACAGGACTGCTGGAGACACGACTGATCTGAAATGCAGTTACAGTACATCAAGGCTCCAATTGCCAAGAAAATCCTTGAATTCCACTGCACCTAATATAGAAATTATGTACTGAAAAGAGTTTCTATTTAAAGCACAAGCATTATAAAAGTAGATGAAACCAATACCTTTGAGTAAATATATTCATGCTATTCTATTACTGCAGAAACTGCAGTCACTCTGCTGCTGGTTTAACTCACACAAAGAGTGACTGGACACATTTCATTTTGTTTGTTCCATAGATTCTCTTTTTTGGTTTGGTTTTTCTTGGCTGAACAGGCTGTGGGTGATTTGATCTGTGTGCAAGATTTGACTGGTAAAGTCACTACTACCTGAGAAGAGAAAAGGGGCCAACCCTAATTTTCCGTTGGGCAGAGAGAACAGAGAGGACACTCTTTTGACCTTATTCTCCATCCAATTGATCCTTTTTCCCCAATTAAAACCTTGAAGAGTTCTCCTCCTCCCACCCCCAGAGGAAAAACCATCTTTCACACCTCTATTTCCACCGCCAAATGTGATTGAAACCAAACACCTTTCCCAGAAACTGGCAGGGGGCGGAGGGCAGATGGGAAAACAACATGGCTGGAAAGACAACTTATTGCCTCAGAGAAACCAGGCTGAAAGCAGCAGTTCACATCTTATGACAAGGTATTTAAATCACTTGAGAACATCTGGTTAAAATATCCTAAAAATCCTCTCCATTGCTCTACATTGATGAACTAAGGAGATAAGAGTGACGGGTCTGTTCAAATTGTTACCTCAACGATGTCTGAGTTGGTTCTGCTTTCGTGGGGCTCGTTGTATTCTGTGTATTTTAGTAGCACTTTGTCCATGTCAGTGCTGGCATATTGAAAGAGTTTGTTAGAGCTGTTAAAAATGATGAGTGCTATTTCACAGTCACACAGTACACTCAGCTCATAGGCCTTCTTCATTAATCCAAACTTCCTCTTGGTAAAGGTGACCTGGGGAAGAGAGAAGAACCATTTGTTTATTGTGTAAAACCACGTGACAAGGGTTTGAAGGATGGTCATCAAGGAATACTGAGCCTACACTACTTATTCCTACTGTCATGTGTACAAGCTTAACAGAAGAGCTGACTGCAACATCTGGTGTCACTTTTAGGGCCCAGTGATCTGTATTGGACTAAGCTAAACAATTACACCCCCCTAATTTTTCCACTGGTGAACAGAGAGTTAAATTTGGTAGGATTCTCTACCTGCGTTTCCTGCTGTTCAGCAAATTTCTGAGTATCACAGAATTTTCTTCTGTGGTACTTGCAACCTTAATTCTAATAAAATTGAGGAAAACAGCACCAGCAATGAAGTAACACTGTCACCATGAAATATGATTTTTAATTATGCTAAGTTACGAAATATTCTTATTTTGCTGCTATTAAATCATCTAATCAGATTCACTTATATTTTTTACTTATTTTCTGCCACCTAGAAGCACCACAACACAATTGTTCTGTCCTGCTAGAACTGCTGGGGGGAAACAAATCCATTACAGACCATCACAAAGGAGCATTTGCCCATCAGGGAAGGAGGAAACAGTTATAAAAGTTATCACTGATTACAGAAAAAAGGTTTAAAAAATTATTCCCTTCACAAGACACCAGTTAAGGCTATAAAAGTATCAAGGCATGTGACACCCCCTTGTTCCAGCCCAGAGCATGAGTGACCCACACACCCCACATTTCACAGACAATACTCAATGTGCTTTTGCAAGACAGGAATGAAGTAAGACACAAGGAACAATCAAACCTGTTTTTTGGGTTCCTATGGTTTATGTTAATTACTTAGGTGTACACCAAGAAAATTCTGTCTATACACACCTCAAGGCTTTTTTTTTTCCCCTGAGGTGATTATCTCAGGCATGTTACTGTTTTAATATTATCAATAACACGAAATACAAACTCTTCTTCCCACCACACCAACAGTCTGAGGGCTGCACAGGTACAGCTGTTCTTCTTCTGACACCTAAAGGTTATTACCTGAGTATGAGCAGGTGTAGAGAGGTGCCACTGTTCAGTGTTTGCCAGGAAAAAGGCACCAATAATGAGATGTGTGTGTGCAGTACCAACTTCAGAAGTCACTGGACTGAAGGTTCACTTCCACTGTACAACCCCAGACAAGGGCTCTTCATTTCCTGCCTGAAATTGTATCTCTCTCACCTCCTGAAGGGCTGCTTTACTTGTGACATTCTCAGTTGGCATCAACTTCTCCCGCTGTGTGTGGACCAACCCCACCACCACAGCACCCCCAAGCCTTACTTGAAGGCTCATGGATTATTTTAAATTCCATTTTCATTTCAGAACTCAAAAAAAGTGAAATTAGTTCTGCAAATTTTTTTTCCTTGCCATTTAGGATCACACCAAAAGCAAAAATATGTCTCTTTATTGCAGGTCAATGAATTTCTCAGCACTACTTTAATATTCCTTAGCAAAAAAAATGGGTGAGGAGGAGACAGCAAAGGCAGCAAGATCGAGCTCCTTTGCTATCTAATTTACTGCACTGGATTCTCTTCAGCTTAATGAAGATAAATGTCCTACAGCTCATTCAAGCAGATAAGGCTGCTTAATTAATAATACAATGACAGTCTCCTGACAAATTGTAATCCCCTGGAGTAATGGTCTATATATTCTGTTTTGAGCTCACATACAGTCCCTCAGAAAGAAGATGCTTCTGAGAAAACAGTAGTTTTCCTTCCCACATAAATTACATGAACTTACTCTGCAGGCAAAGCTCTGTCTCCTACTTATATATTCCAACAGAAACCCCTAAACATCATAATAAACACCCGAACAGGACACCACATGCAGGTCCATGGGTGACTCCTCACCAGCTCCATGAGCCTCAGAAAACCTGACAGGACACACCTGAACAAACTCTAAATTCCCTCCTTATCTGGGTCAATGAAAAAAATCTCACAGTAAATATCTTATAAATGCCCAGAGCATCAGGGTGTTTTATTACCTTAAAACTCCATATAGTGGTTACCAAAACCATGGGACACCTGTGGGGTTAAAGATCATCAATACCTCCACACATAAAAATAAGATTCCACTAAAAAAACCTATTTAATCTCCTTAAAAACTTTTAAAAACAAGATGCAGTATGTTTGCATTTCTGAGTTTCCACATTAAAAAAAAATAAGGCAAACCTAACTCCATTTTTAAGTTACAGCTTAAAACCTCTTCCTAGTCATTAAAAAGCCCAAAAAGATGTTGGCCAAAAACCAGCCAGAAACAAAACTTAGAATTTAATCTGCATATTTTGCTTCAGTCACAGCAATGGTACAAGTGGGCTAAAATTTGATACAAATACATTGATTCTCTTCCTCTCCATTGTTTCAATCTGAACAATGAGATGGAGATTCAAAAACCAAAAAAAAATCCCCCTGAAAGAAAGAAAAAAACACCTCAACAAAGTCAGGGTAGAATATAATGACATTTCTATTTCCAGCTGAACAAAACCAAGGTTGTGCAACTCACACCAAAAAACTTAAAAAAAGGGATGAGAGGGATCAGTTTCCACCTCTTCAGTGTCCCTTAAATTTTAGAGCAAGATTCAAAAAGCACTGAAGTTATTAATTCATCTCCCTTTACTACGTGTACTTAAGACATTTATCTACATCAAACACACAGTTACTGGGTGATTAAAGCTGTTCAAACACAATACTTGGCTCTCCCCCAAACTCCAATAATACTTTTCTTGCTATATTTAGACTTCTCAGAGTTTACATTGCTTTAAAGTGATACAGGGAGGAAAACAATCCTGATTTCACAAACAAAACAAAGGGCTCCGAGCTGATGTGTCAGCAGTGAGAGAGTCTCATGGAATTCTGACACTGCCCCAACACAAGTTGGTGCTCAGAAGTTAAAAAAGCAAATCAAATAGCAGGAAGGGGTACACCACTACATAAGTCCATGTTTTCCATGGATCCTGAATTCTGGGCCCTTTGGCCACCAAAAATAACACAGTAAAACTGCAGAAGGTTTAGGGATAAGTTGAAAGAGGTGTGGAACAAACTCTGTATTAAAACAACTAAGGAAGCAAGGCCTGAAAACCTCATTTTAAGAGAAAATAAGCAAAGGTTGGAGAGTTCACAGAACAACAGGAACATGGACAGACTATACAGGGAGTCACTGCTGCCTCTTCCACACCAGAGTGTGGAATAACTGAGGAACTGGCAGAACCAAGACAAAGGATAATGAAAAGGTGTTTTTTGAAGTAACAGGTAACAGACCTATAGGCAATTCTGGACAAAAGGTGTAAATGCTGCAAGGTTTAAGGGCTCAGAGGAGAACTGACCAAGTTCCCTGGCGGGGGGGCAGGGAAAACAAACACAAAAAATCCATTAATGGTTACTAAATATACGGAAACCACATCCAGCTCAGGAAATCCCTGAGCTAAGAATAGTTGGGAGCTGGAAGAGGATTAGAGTGTGTAACGTGTGCACCTCCAGCCCACACAGATTTGCCTGGGACTGTCACAGGACAAGAGACACCTTCGGTCTGGGCCACCAGGACTGTCCTAAAGATCACATTCCTAGGATAATTTTCCTTGAAAATGGGAGCTTCCAGATATCCCTCTGTGTATTTCAATTTAAAACTGAAATGTATTTGGTATCTCATGTAGTAATGCAGAAGTTAAGAGGAAACACTGCTGCTGGAGTCATGAACCTTTGGGACTTGCCAAGCCCTCTGTTAGGGCAAGAGCAGCTTTCCCCAAAACACTCCCTTTGGAGCACTCTTCCCTTCTGACTGACCATTTTTGAAGACTCTTGTAGCAAACAGCTCTTACAAGAAATAGAAATCAATGCTTTTTAAAAGAATCATGGTAACACAATTCAGGACTGCACCACTGCCCCAGCAATGTCAACTCCTCTGCCCAAGAGCTGCAGTAAATCCCTTCACCAGATCCTTCCAGAATTCCCCATCCTTTCTCTGTCTTCAGCAGTTCCCAGCAGCAATTAGATCAAGTGAGGTGACTGTTTCCACACACTCTTCCAGCCTACTGGAAGAACAGCCCAGGGTACCACTTCAACAGGAAGAGCAGTTTTACAGTCAATATGATTTAAAGTAGTAATTGATATTACTTATAAAGAACAATTTCCCCCAAACAGCACCATTGAGACATTTCCTATTCATATTCTGGCAATGGTATCTACAGAGAGATGAAGAGAAAGCTCAGCTCTAGAACAATGAATTAAGAAGAAGAGAATGTATTCCAACTTTCCACTAATTTTTAGGACTCCTGATGAACTTGTTCATGCAGATTGCTTGTTCCTCACCTGTCTGTTCCGTTCATCCATTATTCTCGTGATCTGTATTTTCTTCCTCCCCATTTTTGGCCTCCTCTTTCTTTTGCTTTGCAAGCCAGAAATGTACTAATCCAAGGAATGTCCCTCTCCAGTATTCTAACACATGATACAGTTTTCTTTTACTCTGTCTTCAGCTTGAGAAACGGTTCCTACTTCTTCTTATAAGCACCTAAAAAAAAGAATTGAAAAAAATTAATTGATAAATTAATAAGGGGGAAGCACCATTAAAAACCTGTAGGGTCTTAAAACATGGGCATCATAGAATTTCAGTGATAAATCAAGTATTTTCATTAGTAAAATATTATACCACAGACTTTGTTCCCATTAAACAAACTCCAACTGGTTGGCAGCTTTCTACCTACAAACTACAGACTTAAAATGACCAATAATTCCATACACTTCCAATTGGATGCCTTAAAAATATAGCTGTCACAGGGGTGATGCTCATCACTCTAAGCTTTAGGCTTTGATTGAGGTTTCAAACATTTACCCACTAAGTTTTGGTAAATTCCATTTAATAATTCAGGAAACTTGAAAGAGAAACACTTTGTGTTTCCTGTTTCTCTTGTAAAATTATAAAGATAATGAAACAAAGCCATGAGAACACCAAATTTCTGTTCCTAAAACTAAATTACATCTCGTTTTGTGCAACAATATTCGGGGTTTCATTGGAAAGCAAGAGGGAGAAGGAAACAGGGAATTTCTTTACTGAAAAGAGACCACAGAAAACAGCTTTGCAACAAAACTGTTTCATGGCTACCAAGACACCACTGAAGAATTAAGACTTTGACACAGTTCCTCTCTCTACAATAACCTGTAAATTACAATCTGCCAATACCCAGGACCAGTCCAGCACCTGTTCCTTTTTATATGTTTACAAAGATAAAGGCACATGCAGCTTGAAAAGCCAGTGTGCCATCAGACTGGAATAGTTAACAAACTTCAAATGCATTTGCAGTGGAAAAAAAATTGCTAAGCCTTATTCCAAACACACTGCTTGAATTGCAGGGCAACATCAGCTGAAGAAAACTGAACAACAATTTAAAATAAATCACCTCTAGAACATAAAAGCATGAAATAGGTGCAGCTTATTTATCTTATTGCCACCTAACGCTCATGAAAAGGGGTAAACATCAGTGTTAGCTGATAACCTTTCTAACATTCCAACCCAAAACACCTCTTCTTCAGGAAAAATGTCTTCCAAGGTGCTGCTGAGAAAGAATTAACAGCTGAAGAAGAGCTGATGAACCGACCTCTACACAACCAAGAGCACACAGGAAATATTTCACAGGGAAAGCAGCAGCTGGCAAATAGATTTATACCGGTTTTGTTTAAAAGAAAACAAAAACACCACACACAAAAAATATCCACTGCACTCCAAGCTTCAATTCCCTAAGACATTCAGCTCAAGTCAGCTGCCACACTTGCTTGAAAACAAAAGAATTCTCAGCCCCTGCTACGATCACACATTAAATTTAGCTCTGCAAAATTCTGGCTGTCGCCTCCCCTGAACACACCTAATCAAAGGGTGGCTCTAACCAGCCCTTAAAATGGGTTTTCTCCTTCGTGCAGGGCTTCATTTTTTAAACCTACCATGTATTCCTGAAACAGTTCTCTGAATAGAGAACTGCCAGATTCCTTTGCTTTTTCAAAGCCCCCACCATCACAACACAGTAATATCAACCACCCAGGACACCAGAGATCCATCTGGTCCAGCATTTGATCCCTGGCTACCAGCAAACATCACTGGGATAGTAAAGGAAGAACAGAGGAGCAGAGTAATAATACACATATCACTTCAAAGCAATATTTATAAACCACATTCTCCACATATTAAGTGATTTTTGAATCAGGAACTTCTGGAGTCATTCTGCCTTCTGCAACACATTCAAAAACAAGTCTATGCAGTGAATAAAACAAGGAACTCAGGGGAGAACAGGGAGAGAGGAAGATCAATATGATGAGAGATTATGCAATATATATACCCAGGGATATAAAATAAGAGATGCACAAATGGTTGGTATGAGCTAATGGAAGCAACAGTAGCAGAGAAACATTATTATCTGCTCTATGTTCCATTACAAACAGGAAAACTGGCAGTAATTTCCATCAACATTTTGTTACAGTTTTGGGGTGTCATTTGAGTATGTTCTATTAGGCATAAATGTATGAACTTGTTTCCCATTTATGACAGTCCACTTTCCCTCTCCTCTCAGATCTTCTTTCCTCAGCCTTCAAGGCTTTCCTCACTCAGAAATTCCCAATTCCTATTTGCACGTCTGTCCAGCCCAGGGCCAGCTCTGCTCCCTCTCCCACAGGTTGCCATGGACACCAGAAACCTGGAAATGCATTTGCCAAAGGAGGGGCAGCAGCCCTGTCACTCTGCAGCCACTCACAAGGTGATTTTCAAAGCTAAGAACTGAAGCACAAGTTTGGCTGAGCTCAGGGTAGAAAGGACCTTGACACTCTGCAAAATCAGAGAAAACTGCAGTAAAAAGGCACTTTTCCTGCTCAGAACATCCAAATGGGAAGTTACCCCCATGACAAAGGCATGTGACATTTAGAGCAATGACTTTTCCATTTTCCAATCCTTGATCAGAGCTGCAGCTTATTTTCTATCCTGACTGGCAACAAATCCGTGTGAGAAGATACAGGACTGTGCCCACTACATGCTTACCCCAAAAATGTAACTAGCAAAAGTTTTAACCAGGCAGTGCTTAATTCACAAAGCCATTTAATCTAAATTATCAACAAACTTTTACCCAAATAAAGGAAAACTTGCAGACAAAGATTGACACACAATTTTTTCTGAAAGTAAACGTGGAACTAGCATGAAATAACCTTGATGAAGGCAAAGTTCTACCTCCTTAAGTGACAGAATCCAATTCCAGCCACCAGAGCTGCTTTGCTTTACTTACCTGGGCACACAAAAGCAAAAATTATTTTATTCTGAAGAAGGACTTCAGGCATCTATGAAACAACACTTTAAGCAGAGAAAAGGGAAAAAAACCCATGTGCTTCATGATGAGCTTCCAACAGAAAATAATGTCAGCTAGCAATAATAGCAAGAAAAATTGCATTTGTAGCTGCCCAAGTAAAAGCCTCTGTTATTGTTTAAAAGTAAACTATTCTAAATTTTCTGGATTTATTCCCTTCCCCAGCACATGTGAAAACACCCCACTAATTGTTGACAGACAGCAGAGCCACACACACAAATACACCCTCCCAACTGCACAGCTGCAGAAATTCAGATGAGTTCACTGTCAGGTTTGCTGATGGTTCCATAAAGCTGAGAGAGGATGTAACTTTAAAGCAAGGAAACTGTATTTGACCTATTTAAAAAGCTTCCTTCAAGGGTTCAGTGGAAACAAATTATATCTGTGCAAAGCTGCTCAAGGTCTGGAAGCCTCCTGGCAGAACAGGTTAGGGGAAAAACTGTGTCAGAATTCTGCTCCTTCCATTTATTTTCCTTTTCTTTCCCTCTGACTCGTTGTTTTCTTGAAACTTCCCTTTCCCTGGGTGGTTACAGGTTCATGTGACAGCCCCTGTCTCCTCACAGCTCGTTTACTGCAATGCACACAAAGAAATGAGTGTCCTGACGTCAGAGCATTTGCATGGAAACACAGATCTGCAGGGATGCATCTCCCCCTGCTCAGCCCTGGGTATGGTGCTAAACAGCAGACCATTTTTCTTACAGCAAGATTAATAGGTCTTTTTTTAGGCTTAGAGGAGCCTGTGCAGATGGATTTGTAGATTTGGCCCCTAAGCATGAACTGGTGGGCACCCAAATCATGGCTGGACAGGACACTCGCTGGTTATTCCAACACTTTCCACATTTATGTTGCCAGAACATAAATATTCCCATTCAGAGCAACATGGAGATGAGGTCCAGCCCACGTGGTGACTGCTGGACACTAACAGAGTACCTCATTTTCCTGTAGTACCTGCAAACATGTCCCTGTCCCTCAGCCCTGCCCACAGCACTGAGTGAAACAGGCAGAAAAAACCTGGAGTCAAATAATGTCTTCACCAAAATAATTAATGCAATGGTTAATGGTTTCATGGAGCAAGGTCAAACCCCATTCTCAGACTTCTTTTTCAGAACCTCAAAGAGAATGCAAACCCAGATAAACTATACAAGTCCAGATACCTTTTTTTCCTAAACCCCAAACTAATGACCCCAAATACATTCACTCAGATCTGAGAGCCATGGGATGTTATCACTGCACATTCCACCAGCCCTGCTCCAGAAACCAGTGCCACCACTTGGAGTTGGATTTGAAAATAAGGATTTCCAGCAAAGGGGCTTTGGGTATTTTATGTCTGCACTGAACAGAGACCACACTCAGACCCTGGCTGGGTTTTTGCAGAGGTGTGCAAAAAACAGTCATGAAAATGTTTCCTACAGCCACATTTCCATGGCCCTGTCACCACACATTGCTCTAAGGAATGTCAGATCTAACTGTAAAACAATCCCACACAGCCACCCTTTCAAAACAAGGGGACACGTTGCCATTTATCTCTCCCTTCTTGCTGCACCACAATCTGAGGAAATAAATCCTTTTTCCATCCTCAGTTTAGAAGCCATTCTTCTCCACTCAGGCAGAGCCTCAGTAAATGAGAGTGGCCTCACAGCTCCAAGGTCCTCCTCACCCAGTGATACACAAGCATTGTTATAAAACAATAATACAACCCTCGGCCAAAAGAACTTTTTCTTTTTTTTAAAGTGGGACAACGTAAAAAACAGGAAGCCATAAACAATTCTTTATTGATATTCTGGTTTTATGCATCATAAAACACTTGTTTCTTTCAGCTGGGAAGAACGAGGCACATCTCTGGTACCAGACAATTTAAATAAACTGTACTTCTGAGATTTGTGGAGTTTTGCAACCAAACATGGTCCTCAGCTTCCACACTAACAGCAAATCTATTTTGGAGCTTCTGGTTTCTAAGTTACACAGCTTTTCAAATGAAGTTTTGAAAGCATAATAGAAAAAAAATCATGAAGTATTTTTGAGGAATATTGTCTTACTGAAGAACTGCACCTTCAAGTGCCATTTAGATCTATTGTTGCTCAAAAGGCCTTTTCTGATATTCTCTTCCATGCAACAAGTCCTGCCTAAGATGAAGAGCAATGACTGTATTTTCTTGCAAACAGAACCACACAAA